GGTCCTTTCCCTCGTGGATAAATGGTCTTAATTAAAAACACGAAGTAAGTGATGACAACTAACAAAGTCTAAAAAATGTTCAAAAAGTAGTTTAAATCAAACAGGAAGTGAGTTGATTTAATCACTATTTCCTCATCTACATTTAATGAAACTAAAAACACAAACAAAATTTTTTTTCTGTGTAAATAAATTATTTAAAATCGAAAAAAAGAGAAAAATTAAGTACTTCTCAAACTATATTCATATTCAAAAACTGACCATTCAAGAACATGCCCATAAATGGAAACTTACCATGGTGGGATCTCCAGCCGGGAAGACTGTGCACTCCATATACGTTTTGTCCTTTCCCTCCACCAAGTTAGTGATATCTTGAAGGGCCTTCTTGAACTTAGGGGCGATGTGGGGTTTGGAGGGTTTGAACAACTCGTCTTCATTCCACTCATCTTTTTTCGCCCACACCGGAGGCGGCAACTCCTCGGGAGCAAAGGCGTCCGTTGGTCTAAAATAATATCGCATTTTGTTCACTAATCTACTGAAGTAAGAATTAACATTATATTTGTTAAGCTACCTTACATTAACCATAAATTTTAAAAATCAGTTAAAGTTTTTTATTACATATTTATTCTTAGAAAAAACGGCCACAAGTCAATGATTGGAACACAGCGGTTGGATGAGATAGTTTCGTGAAAAGTATTTTAAGACAAACTCTTTAGAAAGTTTCAACGACCCATTATAGCTACCTTCATCTTTCACTTAACAACCACCGTTACTGCCAACTTTGAAGCGAACTTTTTCAAAAAGGCCCCACGCAAAATTTTTAGTTTTTTTTTAAAAGAACTTGTTTGTTTTTCTAAAATGATTGGTGAACCCTGTTGGTATCAACCATTCATTTCAACTTTAATTCAAATGTTGTTGTCAATTAACAATGTCAAAAAGTTTTTTTATTGCAGAGCAGATTAAAAACTCATTAGCTCGTGGAGTTTTTGTCCCCCACAGAAGAAAGGTCGGCAGTTTAAGGTCCCCAATGATCCTGGCTCGTTTATTGATGGTGAAAAAACAATATTCTGCTCAGAAATTATAATGAAATAATGTGATTCTTAACCGCAGCGGTGTTCCGTAAAGAGCTTTCTTTTTTGTTCATTTCTCTCGCCGAGAAATCGTGTTAGACATACGATAGCGATTATAATTTGAAGGGGGGCTTACTTTTTGGGGATGAGAACTTTGTTGTCATCCCACTCGTCCTTCTTGGCCCAGCTGGGGGGCGCCTCGTACGCAGGGGCCCTAAACATGTTCACCATGCATTGAAAAAAGACTCTCCGATTCAATGGTGTGTCAATTAACAAGAAAATACAGTCATCATTCGCAATATTTCAAACCACTCTCAGAAATCAACCAAACTGCACAAAATTTTGATAAATTTATTCAACCGATAACTGGACTTGAACCAATATCTCTGAATGCTAAAGAACGCTGCTTCAAATCAAGAGTCCAGGCCATCAAACATCGACACTGTCTTCGACTCAGCTAAATGCAGTGAATCAAAAATTCTTTTTGGTAGCCGCAAAAATTCTTTCGTAGGATATTTTAAATGTATACTAGGTTTTTAATTTTTTGCAAAAAAAACGCGAATTGCAATGAGAACTTTGTGCTTCTTTAACTAACCTTTTGGGTATGAGACTGTCCTCGTCACTCCAATCTGGTCCATTTTTGTTCTTCTTTGCCCAGGAGGGGAGGGGACTATTGTTGGTCGCAGGGGGCCTAAGCAACAGCCAAACATCAGTCAAAGAGCAAAACAAATTTCAAATTCCCTAAATTGCAACTTGGAGTCTGCAATCGGGTCAGTGCGTATGGGCTATTTTCGAGTTCCCCACCCCCTTCGTGAATCTCAAAACAAATTTGCATAAAAATTCTTCAACGGCAAATTTACACGTAAGAAATGTTCTAATTAATTGTTTACTTGTTCACGTTGAAAATTTTTATAAAATAAAAGTTTTGAACATCAAAAGTCATTCAGAATAAGATTTCGTCGATCAAATTTCCAAAAAAATCATGGCTGTCTTGGAAAAGAGCCGACATATGAATATATTAAGGATATTAGGATCCACACAGCATGCTTTTGCGACCAAAACTTCATTTTCCCCAGAAACTTGGAAGAGTCGCGCATCATTAATACAAAAAGCATTCAAACAAATGTTACATTCACAGATAAATTAGAATAAATTTGGAACTGACAACTTTTGTTTGCAATTTTCAGTTTTTTGCATCTTCTGCGCTCTTTGAAATGAGAAATTTAACAAACTCTTCAAGAATAGATTCCCATTGGAATGCATGCTTGTTATCTATCATCAGTATCGTGTATGAATAAAATTTCCATGGATGTGACAATTTGAACAACATACAAATTTCGGAACAATCAATTCTTTCTTAGTCTTTCTTTCTTTCTTACTCACTTGTTGGCTCTGTTCTGTTCCAGCTCTTCGTACCCTGCTCGCATGTCTTCTGGCAGTTGGGGCTCCTTAATTAGCGATTCAGTTCCTGAGAAGAAAAATAAAATTATGCATAATAAGATAACTTCGTATTTTTCTAAGTGAAACTTTACTTCTTGAAGTAAAACTTCAATATTTGATAAAGAAGTCCTTTTCATTTTTATCACTTTCTCATTAACAATTATCCAGAATAATCCACAAAATATCAACAAAATTCGATGCTTAAAAAATTCACAATAACAAGTTGTGTAACTCAATTAAATTAAATTATAAAAGATTTGATATTAAAAAACTACTGACCTCTGACTGCCACTCTGCACGAGTTCTCAGCCATACCAACTTTGTTGGTGGCTCTGCATGTATAAACTCCACTGTCTCGAGGGTTCAGGTGGTCGAATTCAAGGACACAGAAGCCGAACTCGAAGATGGGTCTCAGTCTTGTTTTGTGTAGCAGGGGACGACCGTCTTTGAACCATTCTACTACCTGAAAATACAAATTAGTCGTGCTTTTTCAGTATTCCAAATAGTAGTGGTTTTTGTCCAGTAGCTGACTTTTCCATCGGCACATAGTTGTTATTGTATTACAATGTGTTCAAAGTTGGTCAGAAAAAAAACTACGCCGAGCTCAAAAAACACTCCGTCACTACATTCGAAAGTTGCCTGGCTTGTTACGTATTTGAAGTAACTTTTGAGAGAAAAATATTAAACATTAAATCATCACTTAAAAAAACGTAAAATTTGCAACTTTTTTTGTCCGTTTTTAAAGCTTTAAAGCCTTCCCCCTGAATTTTTCATAAAAACAATCATCAAAACCTAAATAAGTGCTTTCAATACGTTCATTGACACTTAAAAATCAACGCAAAAAACAATCATTAGTCGCATTTTATAATCTTTAGTCGCAGTTTTGAAAAAAAAGTATCTTCCTTACCATGGTGGGATCTCCAGCTGGGAAGACAGTGCACTCCATGTATGTCTTATCCCCCTCAACCATACTTATGTCCTGCAGTAGTTTCTTGAACTTGGGGGGCAGGTGGGGCTTGGAGGCCTCGAATATCTCATCCTCGTCCCACTCGTCCTTCCTAGCCCAACTGGGGGGCGTCTGATCCTCCGGGCGGGGAGGGAGGGGGTGGGTGCCTCTGAAATAGAACAAAGAACATTTTAGACGTCGAAAAGAAAGATAAACTAAAAAAAAAAAACATCGATTTGGGAAAAAAACTCAAAAGCGTCAAAACATTAGTTTAAAAAATTTATGACCATATAGTCAAGTTGTCAAAATTATTAACAAGGACGGTGAATGAAAAAAAAACAGAGCCGCCTCATTTTTGATATGAATTGTGCCAACATATCAATAAAAAATCAATAAACATACCATTAAACACAAAACTACTTTAAGTTTCTCGAAATACCTTTTCGGGATTGCGATCTTCACGGGTGTTGGCTTCTCTTGTTTTTGCGGCACTGAAGCACAAAATACATTTAGACTTCCAAATTTGAAGTGAGATTTAAAAAAAATTACAAGCATGATTTTTGCAGAAAAAATTGATGATGAGTAATTTTTCATTTTAAAAGTTATGAAGCAATATTGAAAATGGCAACCATTTCAATTCAATTTGTTTGTCAATGTGTTTTTTTATTGTTCCGAACACTGAGTTACTTATAGTTTTTAGTAATTATTACAATCTTTTATATATATTTATTTCAACGTTCGATTTCATGGATTATTTTTTTCTTTATGGGCTCACTTTTGATGTTGAGTTTGCAGGAGAACCCGTCAGTGCCGGCTGGGTTCTTGGCGAGGCAGTTGTACCACCCG